TGCTTTTAAACAAACAAAAATGTTAGAGCCGACCCAGAACATTTGGCCACCTGAAGTGAGTGGCAAGATAGCCTCTGCCACATTCTACATTCAGGACAGCAAACCTGAGGGCATCAGGTCACCCTACAGAATGCAGGGCAGGTGGTACAGTGCACACACACAACAGCAGCAGCAACAACAACAACAACAGCAACCACCACCACCTCACTGCTTGTTCCTCAGCAAAAGCTGCCAGAGGTTAGCTCCCTCACTCTGCCTCAGTTTTCATTTATATAAATATTAGTATACCACGGACTCATATGAAATATCAAGGCAGCGCACAGCAACACACAGACACAGACACACACAGACACCCTTACCATAAAAACAATACAAAATAATAATTGAAATGACTGGCTAACAGGGCTGACCCACCCATGAGATATATATCAGGATCAAAGCTGTCAACTTTTCCCTCTTCTTGCGAGGAATCCTATTTGGAATAAGGGAATTTCCCTTAAAAAAAAGGGAAATGTTGACAGCTATGATCAGGATCTGCTGCCTCTGTAGATCCTGACACCTGAGAAGATCACCCTACTTAGCCTCATGAGTGGGCTCTCTCTCTCTCTCTCTCTCTCTCTCACACACACACACACACACACACACACACCTCCCACCCTGCAAGGATTAGGAAATGGTAAACTATCTGACACTTTGTGCTAACACACATTCCCAACGTCACACCTCTCTCTCTCTCTCTCTCTCTCCTATATATATATATATAGTATATGTTTTGGGGACTAGAGTCCACAACCTCCCAGAAATATGTTTTCCCTCACTGTTTCCCTGAAATGAATATGCTTCAAGAAAACAAACAAACATGGAATGCCAGTTCCTGTTCTGTCTTAGATAGAGAGATATGGTAGTTTTGGATGGTGCGTAGGAATAACACTGCCCCAACTGCTCTGGGTGACTCTTTTAGCAAACTTTTACGGTGCATTTGGATGTTCTTACCACTCCATCTAATTCTCTACAGGTTCTTTCAAAAACATTATGTAATGCATATTTTACTTTTTATAGCTTTTCCCGAGGCTCTAAAGTTTCTGCTAATGCAGTTCTGAAAACACACTATTTATGCAACTGGACTATAATATCTTTATTTTTATGCAATTCCGAATACAAAAGAGAGTGACATAATGGGCTCCTCCCTGTGTGCCTATTGAGACACTGGAGAGTTTCATCCGAAGCATTTTATTGTAAAGGCAATGCTTTTCCCATCAATTTTAAAGGGTTTGGGGCCATTCCCATAACATGCAGCTTTCTATGCTTGTCCTGGTTGCAGGAAGCACACAGAGATTCGCCCAGCAATAATGGAAAGGCAGAAAACACATGATGCATTATCTGAAGCTGAAGACTAACAAGGAAGTTTATTCATAGGCTTTATCCCAGGGATTGAAATATTTGTGTACATTGTCTCTTTGGATTTTCAGGATACAGAGAGGTAAGATTTGTTTGTCCATTGTGAATGTGGGTTCAGGCTGCAGGGCACCTTAGTAAAAATGAATGTGTGTGTGTGTGTGTGTGTGTGTGTGTATCACTATATATGCATATATTTTATACACACACACACACACATATATATATATGCATACACACACACACACACACACACACACACACATACATACACACAAACCAGATTAAGCTTAATTTTTAATCAAAGGCTGGCATATTTACAGGCTTTGTGTTGCAGTTTTGCACAAGTCTGTTCAATAAACTCTTCAAATGCAGCACATTAATTTTCAGTCACTGCTTGTGCATTTGGGAGTTCCATTATTATGAACTAATAATAAAAAATAAAGGTGGTATCAAACTAAGTGCTTCTGCTTGAGCAAAAATTTCCGCTTGTGCAGTGGAACTTCTCCCCCCTCTTCTCTCTCTGCATGCTCCCTAAACCCTCCCCAAATCTCTTGTCTATTACATTTAAGGTAAAGGAACCCCTGACCATTAGGTCCAGTCGTGGCTGACTCTGGGGTTGCAATGCTCATCTTGCTTTACTGGCTAAGGGAGCCAGCGTACAGCTTCTGGGTCATGTGGCCAGCATGACTAAGCCGCTTCTGGTGAACCAGAGCAGTGAACGGAAACTCCGTTTACCTTCCCACCGGAGCGGTACCTATTTATCTACTTGCACTTTTGACGTGCTTTCGAACTGCTAGGTTGGCAGGAGCAGGGACCGAGCAACGGGAGCTCACTCCGTCGTGGGGATTCGAACCACCAACCTTCTGATCGGCAAGTCCTAGGTTCTGTGGTTTAACCCACAGCGCCACCCGCATATATTACATTTATATCCCACCTTTTCTCCAAGGAGCTCAAGGCAACATACAGCAGGGAGAGTAGAGTGCACAAGTGGAGAAGCTTTTTCAGCCTGAGAATCACAGTTCCTTCTGAAGAACCTTCTGAGGGGCCCATGCCAGTGGTACTGCTACAACTACTACTACTTCTACTAATACCCCACCCATCTGGCTGGGTTGCCCCAGCCACTCTGGACTGTTTCCAACATATATGAAAACATTAAACATTAAAAAAACTTCCCTATACAGGACTGCCTTCAGATGTCTTCTAAAGGTTGTATAGTTACTTATCTTTTTGGCTCGGGGGTCGCATAATTGAGCCTGGGACCTTTGCATGGAAAGCAGATACTCTACCACTGAGCTATGACCTTTCTCCATCAGGCAAAGAGGGGCCAGACAGAGCTCTCAGATGCATTAGGAATTGATATGGTAAGTGCAAAAGTCCGATTTATATCCCCAAGCAAGTTCTGATAGCTACCGTGGCCCCAGGAAAGTTAAGGGGCAGTGCTCTGACTTAGTTCCATACATGGTGATGAAACTGAATGACCTAGAATCATGGCATTTAGCTTTTCCTCTGGAGAAGATCATGAAGAAGAAGTTTGGATTTGACATCCTGCTTTATCACTACCTGAAGGAGTCTCAAAGCGGCTAACAATCTCCTTTCCCTTCCTCCCCCACAGCAAACACTCTGTGAGGTGAGTGGGGCTAAGAGACTTCAGAGAAGTGTGACTAGCCCAAGGTCACCCAGCAGCTGCATGTGGAGGAGCGGAGACGCAAACCCGGTTCCCCAGATTACGAGTCCACCGCTCTACACCACGCTGGCTCTCCTGCTCAAGCAAAGCCAACAGCTTTCTGTAAGCTTTATAATGCGCAAGCAATTAATAGGCATTATGTATTCAGAAGACAGTTTCAGGCAAATGTGTAATGTGAGCTGCTTTAGGATAGTTCATAAGGAGGCCTTGGACTTCAGGATATTATTTTAGCAGAGGCTGTCAGTGTAGGCCCAAATCCAGCACAAAGTTAGTCATGCTTAAATCCCATTAAGAGCCATAGGACAAAGTTAGTTGTGAATCATTCATATCCTCCCAATTTCAACGGCCCTTTTTCTTTCCTTTTCTTTTTCTGGATTTGGGCCATCGTCAGTTTAAAACTTGCAAATATTAGAACGAGTGAATGAATGTATGTAAATGAGACACAGCTGACTGCCTCGTCTTTGGCAGCAACTCTATGCGGTCACCACCTCTCCCACCAGTCTCAATGTGGCATCGCTTAACACCAAGCATGGTATGTGAATTTTCCTCTTAAAGCAGAAAAATATGGTTGAGAGGTCAGCATCAGTTTTGCTTCGTGATCAGTGTCTCTAGGCTGCCCAATGTTACTTTTTCCAACATGGGGAACAAGCTCTGGAAGAGCTCTCCTGCACAAGCTCCGCTGGAATGAATGGGAACTGTTTTGGGGGCTCTTGCAGGTGTCCTTTTTTATTGTGCATGCATGATTTCTGCTCATGATACTATCGGGGCAATCACATGTGATTCCACTTTCAACGCTACTTGCATACCCTCCAAGTGCCCCTATTTTCCAGGGACAGTCCTGGAATTATAAAAGCCGTCCTGGCTTCTGATGTCCCTATTTCCCCTGCACTCTTCCCACTTTGGATCAAATCTATGCTTCCAGATGCCATAAGAAAGCTGCAGAGATAGTGCAGGATAGTACGCACCCCGGAAATGATCACTTTCAGCTTCTGCCTTCTGGAAGAAGGTACAGGGTTATAAAGACTAGGACTAGCCGCCTGAGAAACAGTTTTTATCCAAATGCGATTTTGGTTTTAAACGCAGTGTAAGGTAGTCTCTGTGGGCGTATATTGTATTTAATTATGGGGTATCAGAGTTTTTAGGGGGTTAACCAGGCTGGGATAGCAGGCTTGTTGGTTTCTGAATGTCTGATGTAGATTTTTTCAAGTTCATTGTTCTGTATGGGACAATGACAATAAAGATTATTGTATCAAGCGCTGCCAATGCCAAGTTCGTGGAGGAGGGTGAGCTGCTGCTTGTCCTGAGTGGTGGCAAGGGAGCACCCTGTTGCCACTCCATGGCCACCGCTGCCAGCCTCCTCCCTTGGGCAGCTTGTAGCAGCTGCTGAAGAGCAGGTGAGGAGAAGGAGAGGCTAACAGCTTATGCTGCTGAAGCCCAGCCTCATGTGATGTGCGGGCTCTGAGGTGCAAGCTGAGGGCAGGGCCACCCTGGGTGGGAAGAAAGGGGGAGTGGGGCGGAATGCAAGGACTCTCCATTTTTTTAAAAAAAGCTTTGTGAGTCCACGTCTAATCTTGCCCACTTTCTAAAATCCATTTAATGATGTGTACTTTTCTTTTTGTAAATCAACCAAAGAATAAAATCAAATCGGGGTTAAGGGGTTTTCTCAGGACGGTGGAGAGTGTGTGTCCCGTTGGTGTATGTAATGGTTCTAGGGGTTGCTCGTGCGTAAGCCGGTGCCCACACCTGGCTGGGTTGCCTAAGTGAACCTTCTCTGTCCGGACAGCCACTCACCCGTGGCTGTCTCAATCGCTGGCAGAATCTGTCAGTGGGCGTTTCTTAAACTTCTTCCAACAAAGAAGTTCCTTCACGCCCAGTCTCCTCCTACTTTCCCTGCATGGAAGCCTTCTGCGCAAGGAGGGCGTAGGCAGCGGAGGACCCCCGCTGGTCCCCGGCAAGGAGTCATGTGACTCCCTCTCAGATTCCCCCATCTGCCCCCCTGCTCCACTGGAGCTGAGCTGATTCCCTTCCCCAGAAGATGGGCTGCCTCTCCCAATCCCGGGACGCTCTCTGGGATCCCTCTGGAGCTTGCTCTCTCCCTCTGGCACTGATAGCAGTTCCCTGACAGTGTAGTGGTGGAAATGCTCTCAGGGTGGGTGGGTGGGTGGGTGTGTGAGAGAGAAAAAATGGAGGGGCTCAAGGAGGGTCAGTTGTGGGGAGTGAGAAATACTCCTGATTTCAACTGAGGAATTTTGGAGGGTATGTATTTGCACCTGCTAAGATTTCGGAGTGGTCACACAGCTCCATTTCCAATCAGGGCCTACAGGTTGAAATCCCATGAAAGGAATCCAGCGTAGCACTAAGCAGATCACTCTGTCAATGCAAGTATTTCTGCTTGCCTGATGGAACGATCTGCTCTCTTTTCCTCACCATGAACTGTTCTGAGATTCTACCAACACCTCCTCCCAGAGCCAATGGGTGGGGGAGGGGAGGGGAAGAAAGACCAATTGTGCTAGTGGACGTCCTTGCAAGGGCTTTCCATTGGCAGGGCTCATTAGATGAATCCCGCCCCAGGCCTGATGGAATACAGCTTTCCATTTTGGGCTGAATAAAAAGAATACTGTCAGGATTCTGCTCGACTGTGCCCAGCCCTGCCTACCATAAGGTGCCAGCGAGTTGTGACCAAAGGCTAGTGTAACGCTGTTTCTAACAAAGCTTAAGTTTGTTGAAAACTGGAAACAATCAAGAGAGGACAAGTGTGTCCTTATTAATGCCACCTGTGCTGTTGAACATTTGTTCAGAAATGATGCCAACATGGGTGATCATGAAGGTACCACACAAGGCTAGATTGATTGCCGGTCAGCTCCAGTAGATGCTTGTTCTTATTATGTTCTTTGTGTTGCTATCAAGGAAACCCTGCATATTTTCTGCTTGCGTTAAACCTCTGACACACTGCAGGCTACTTGCTAAACCACACTGAACAGCTGCATAAAACCTGGAGCCGCTGGCACTGCACTTTTGATTGCACATAATAAAGACAGTGTGCGTACGCATCACTTTGTGTTGTGCTTTGTTTACTTGCTTACATGGGGTTCAGCGCAGGGCACTGTGTGTGTTCTCATTCAGCAGAAGGATCTAGGATTGCACGATACCAGAAGCAGCCAAATGCAGCTTAAAAGAAAAGAAAAGCAAGGAGGATTGCTCTTAATTGCTATTGGCCTCGATATCTTCAGCGATGGATGAGAAGAAATCAGTCTCCATATAAGGGCCTTGGCAAACTGCTGCCCTCCAGATGTTTTGAACAACAACTGTCTGGGACTGATGGGAGTTGTTGTCCAAAACATCTGGAGGGCACCAGCTTGGCAAAGTCTACCATATAGAATCAGTCCCCAAAGAATCTGCCTCTGAAACACAGAGGAAACATACCATGTGTGTCAATGCATGACATTAAGAGAAGTTGCAGAAAAACCCATTTTCCTTCCAGGCCTTTCCGAAGCCCCATCTACACTGTGCATTTAAAGCAGTATCATACCACTTTAAATTAACATGGCTCCTCTCCACACCCCAAGAATTCTGGGAACTGAAGTTTGTTAAGGGTGCTGAACAGAGTTAGGAAACTTCTATTCTCCCCACAGAGCTACAATTTTCAGAGCGGTTTAACAATAGATTCCTCTTCTCAGGGAACTATGAGAATTGTAGCTCTGTGAGCCACAGCTCTCCTGTAGAAAGTTAGCCCTATCTTTTATCGCTTTCTTTTAGCACCATAGTAGTGAGCATCAAACCCAGCAGATGCCTTTGTGTTTTCAAGGGGTTTTTTGTTTTCTTGTGTTGCATTGTCTCCACTGTAAGTGGAATGCACTTCCAATTAACATCTGGAAGGTACTTGCAGTACTGATATTTAGGTGCCTGCTTAATCTTTGTCTCTTTACCTAGGCTTTCCAGAGTGAGGGTGGATCCAGCTACATTGATGCACTAATCTCATCTCCTGGTTTGTATTTTGCATTTGCTCACATGTATGCCAATTTAATGTTGATTTTTATGTCATTTACCACCATGTTATTTTGCTTAATATTGGCAGCACACTTTTTTTTTCCAAAGCAGGGAGAAAAATATAATAAAATTAAGCAGTTTCAAACAAGTGGAACATTTTTCAGACAGGAGTGAATCTTGTGGGAAATAATCACCTGATCACACAGTTTAAAAGTGCTCTGGTTTTGAGACAAAGGGTGGATCTAAACATGGGGGGGGCAGGGGCGACTATAAATAACTCAGAAATTAGACCATTTTAATAAAAGAAAAAAAATCTCTATGGAAAATAAAGTTTTAAAATTTCCTGCTCTCTGGCACCATCTGGTATTGCATGTTTATAGCACATTCAAATCACTGTTTCTTTACTAATATAGCTGAGTCCGAAGACATCAGACAACTGTTTTGCCATGTAGTGCATATTGACATCATGGTGCTCATTTTTCAGTCGTTAATTTGGATTCAGAAATGAAAGAAAGGGAGCTGCTCAACACATGGTCAACATTCAAACGTGACTCACACAAGCGTGTACATCATTTCCTGTCACAATTTGATTACACCAGAAGCAGCTCACTGGGTGAGGCAGAGCCTCTAGGCTAGCTGTTGCTTACAATGATGGAGAGTTGAAATGAGTGAGGCGGCAGGGATGTCAATGCACTGCAAACATGCGACCTTTTTGGAAATTAACAGGGAAGCTTTGGAGAAATGGAATAAACTACCCTTACTTGCTTACACAGTGGCATGTAGTTATACACAGAATTCGCTGCTGCAATATGTGGTGGGGGCCAAGATGACCTTTAAAAAGTGCTTAGCCAGAGTCATGGAGGATAAGAATATCAATGGCTTACTACTCAAAAGAGCTGCTCTGAACCTCTGGGATCGGAGGCTGCAGGCCTTGGAATACTGTTTAATAAGGAACATGCCCTTCCAGTGGGCTTCCTGTAGACATCTGACTGGCCACTATGGGAAACAGGGAACTGGCCTCGATTTAGTTGGGCACATCTCTTCTGACGCTCTTACACTCATTTTAAAGGAGTATATTTCAGATGACATTGGCTCCTCCTCCTAAGAAGTAGCTCTTGAGGAATCCGTGCCCGACCCCCTACCCACACACTGGGCCTTGGATTCTGCCCAGCAAAACTGACCCCTTTCACACATTCGGGTCATCATTTGCCGAGTGCAAAAGTGATGGATAATGTAGAGCTGGACCTCAGCCCGCCTGATAAGAGGACTCCTATCGTGGGAATCTGCTGACTTCACCTTCATTTTTCTCGCTGCATTATCAAACTGGTAAAACGTAATCGTTTCAAACTGGCTTGAGGTCAACTGGTGCTTGTCCAGAAGCCAATACAGGGATAATTCTCTCTCTCTCTCTCTCTCTCTCTCTCTCTCTCTCTCTCTCTCACACACACACACACACACACACACAGATTTTGCTGCCATTTTGTTAAGTGTGATTCATGCGGTGTTTGGCACAGGCCGAAGCGATCATATGGCTGATTCAGCACATACTCCCCTGTAACTCAAGCCACACTTACCATAAAGTGGTTAGGCGCCAGGGCTGAGTGCTGCCAAAGTCCGGTATCCGGACTGGAGAGCTGGCAAGGACCTGGAGCAGAGGGAGCCGCAGGATGTGGGGAGTGGGTCCCAGAGGCACAGTCAACCCCCCACCTCTAAAATACAACAATAACTGCCCAGACTAAGCAAGAAATCTGGAAGCTATAGCAGGCTCACGGGAGGTGTTACTTGACTCCCAGTAGTAGGGAGATTCTGATCTATGGAGTCAGCATCCCAACTTGATTTGTCCATGGTTCCTTCTTCCAACCAGTGCTCTAAGAACATGAGAGAATCACTGACTAACTCACACGAATCCTGGTTTCCTACTTTCTTACAATTATTTATGCCCCACCTTTCAGGATACCAGTCCTTCCGAGGCATCTTCCAAGACACAGCAAAATAAATAAAGAAAACCACAGTAAGCAATATTAGAATCTAGCACCAGGGTCCTTCCCACTGGTATATGGGCAGGGGCAGTAGCCGTGCATGTGGTGGGGCTGCCCTCCTGATGCTCACTGGCAGAGGTGCCAACTTGCACACAAGACTGGGGAGCGATGACATGTGCATGACCTCAGGATGTGGAGGAGCCAGAGGTGGAACCAAATGCAGCGGCAGCGAGGCTTCAATGGCTGGTGGCTCCTCCTCTCTCATGTTCAGCCTCCTCTGACTCATACTGCAGCCAGGGCCTACTTTCCCCGTCTTTTGCTTATGCTTAAGCTGTGCCACACTCCACAATGGGCCTCTTCTTCTTCTTCCTGCCATCACCAGCAGCCAGGGGCTGCTTGCTCCCTCCTTCCCCTCCACAGAAGCAGCAGGAGGAGCCAGCAACTGAAGCTGTGCCTCACTCAGCTCCGTGCTCAGCCCCCTGATGGTTCTAAACATTGGTGGGCTGGCCCCCCCAAAATATTACTGGGGGCTCAAAAGAGCTGGGCCCCTAGGAGCTAGCACCTATGCTCACTGACATCGCTGCTACTACTAGTTGTCCTACTATAATAATAATAATTAATAATACCTTTATTGTCAATGTACAATCTGTGTACAATGAAATTAACTGAGCCTCCCCCACAACACAAACACTCAATCTCATTGCACTCTGTGTGCTTGTCGCACAACACACCAACCCCGAAAGTCAGTTGCACTATATTATTTTCCGTTCAGCAGCCTAACAGCCCACGGATAGAAACTGTTTTTTAGCCTGTTGGTACAACTGATTATACTTCTATATCTCCTGCCTGAGGGTAGAAGATTAAAGAGGTACTGGCCAGGGTTTGAATTGTCCCTGAGAATTTTTCTCGCTCCCCTAAGGCAACTACTAAAAAAGCAATAATTTTGTGTACTCCGCCCATGTGACTGGGTTGCCCCAGCCATATAACACTGGTCCTGAAAGACCTACATTGGCTCCCAGTACGTTTCTGGGCACAATTCAAAGTGTTGATGCTGACCTTTAAAGCCCTAAATGGCCTCGGCCCAGTATATCTGAAGGAGTGTCTCCACCCACCATCGTTCAGCCCAGACACTGAGGTCCAGCTGTGCGGGTTCCCTCCCTGCGAGAAGTGAGGTTACGGGGAACCAGGAAGAGGGCCTTCTCAGTAGTGGCACCCTCCCTGTGGAACGCCCTCCCATCAGATGTCAAGGAAATAAACAACTATCTGACTTTTAGAAGACATCTGAAGTCAGCCCTGTTTAAGGAAGTTTTTAATGTTTGTTGTTATACAGTGGTACCTCGCAAGACGAATGCCTCGCAAGACGGAAAACTCGCAAGACGAAAGGGTTTTTTGTTTTTTGAGCTGCTTCGCAAGACAATTTTCCCTATGGGCTTGCTTCGCAAGATGGAAACGTCTTGCAAGTTTGTTTCCTTTTTCTTAAAACCGTTAATACAGTTGCGACTTGACTTCGAGAAGCAACTCATAGCACACGGTGTGGTAGCCTTTTTTGAGGTTTTTGAAGACTTTGGTGATTTTTGAAGCTTTTCCAAAACTTTTCCGACACCATGCTTCGCAAGACGAAAAAAATCGCAAGACGACAAAACTCGCGGAATGAATTAATTTCGTCTTGCGAGGCACCACTGTATCATGTTTAATATTCTGTTGGGAGCTGCCCAGAGTGGCTGGGGAAACCCAGCCAGATGGGCAGAGTGTTAAATAATAACTTATGAAATTATTATTACTCTGGGAAACTTAACTCAGGCCACATTCACACCATACATTTAAAGCACTAGAATACCACAGTCATGGCTTACTCCAAAGAATCCTGTTAAGGCTGTTACAATTCCTAGAAAACCCTAGGAAGAGGCATTGGTTTTTAAAACCACTCTGGGAATTGTAGCTCTGGAAGGAGAGTAGGGGCCTCCTCAAAACTCTCAGCACCCTTAAACAAACTACAGCTCCCAGGCATTTTAAGGGGAAGCCGCCTGACTGGGGTGGGGTGTGAATGCCAGGAGGGCACGGGTGCTTGCAGGTGCCCTGCTGGCAATCCCTGCCCTATTCCCCCCCCCCCCGTAAATACTCAATAAAGCCTAAAGTCAATGAAGAATATGTCTGCATGACAAACGGATATCACTTTTAGACCAGCTCCCTCATCCAAAAATCCTGGCAATTGCCATTGTGGGAATAGTTTCAGGGGATCCTTAGCTCCCCTCACAGCCTACTGTTCCTCCACTTCCCTGTTTAAACCCGTTTAGATATGCCCGAGAATACCGTAATGTTATTCTTGTGTCTATTTTTATGCATCACCAAATTCATTGCAATGCAGGAATTACAATTCAGCTGTTATTTTGGAAAATGTCGGTTTAGGGAGGTTTCTTCCCCTCACCCTACGCCCAGCACCACCACCTCACCTCTCTCTCCCCCCACTTGCATCCTGAAGAACTCGCAAATTATGTAAGAAACGAGATTCCCTTTTTCCTTCGCAAGCACGGCTGTCCATTTTCCTACACCTGCCTGGCCCAGGAGAGACGCTTCTCCCCAGATGCCATTATGCTGGAGATGTTCCATGCAAGACACGTGAGTTCTTTTGTATTCCTGATCTTTTACAATAGTAAAACTAAAGGAAATTTATGAGTCACTGCAATCTTGGAATGCAATGCCAAACAAATGAGAAGCAGACTGCAAACAACCAAGCCAAGTACATCATTACAGAGTGAGTAATGCAGACAACTTACATAAACTTTGGCCGAAGCTCAGATTTTAGCAGAAGACCATAACCCTTTGATTGCATCAAGAACAGTTAAAAGGTCTTTAATCTGCATGTTGTCTTTCAGGAATGGCAGGCTCATCAATCCAAACCATCATATTTAAGACTTGTGATTTTTCAAGTCCGGTTTAACCCTTCCTCCCCCTCTCCCTCCTGATTCCTCTGCACCCTTTTGCGTATAATGTGAGCTCAGCCTCGCAGATGTCTTCCAGGAATTAATGACTCCTTTCCAATAAATTTCTCATTGAGATTCAGCGACAATGACATCTACATATTCCTACAACTGAGCACTTCTGAAAGCACAGCATCGATTTGTATACACACACACACACACACAACTCCATATAGTTAGAGCACTATGATACCAATTTAACCAGTTATGACTTCACCCAAAGATTTCTGGGAACTGTAGTTTTTAAAGGGTGCTGAGAGTTGTAAGGAGACTCCTATCCCTCTCACAGAGCTACAATTGTGCTTTAACTATCAGTGCCTCTTTGCGGAAATCTCTGAGAACTGTAGATTTGAGAGGAACAGGGTTTCTTGACAACTCTCAGTACCCGTAATAAAGCTCTAAGCAGTTTACACAAAACCTAAGAAGGGTTCTCCTTTATTTATTATCTTGCGAGCCTATATCTAACTTATAAATTATTATTATTTATATGTCAATTGGCATATAAATTTATTTTTATTCTTTTGCATGATTGGACCAATGAAATACATAATTGATATTGAGATGATTCGTACAACGGCTCTGCATTTGTATCTGTGTTTGTATTTGGGCCTATTATTTAATGTTATTATAAAAACTGAAATAAAATTCAAAAATAAGAATACTGTAAATAAATATCCAAGTGGACCGAGAAACACTTCCAAATAAGAATAAAATCATTAGTTAAAATTATAATGATCAAAAAAGAAAATTACCTATTAAAATGCATGTCAGCTTTACATATCTGATTAAGCTTGCAAAGACAAAAAAAAGTGGTTTTTTTTAAAAAGCAAGCTTTGGAAACTACGGCAAAGGCAACTGCCTGGTGTCAATGGGCAGGGAGTTCCATAGTGTCTGTACAACCACAACTGGTTCTTTACAAGTGCAGAATGGACATTGTGTGGCACTTGAAAAATGCTCTGCAGCTCTGCATATTGAAGTCATCTAGTGGGCATGTATTGAGTAAGATGATCTTACTGTTTTCAATCTGTTAAGGGCTTTATGTACTAAGAGTAACACCTTGAATCTGAGACAGTAACAAATTAGCAGCCAGTATAGATCTCTGAGGGACGCGGGTGGCGCTGTGGGTAAAAGCCTCAGCGCCTAGGGCTTGCCGATCGAAAGGTCGGCGGTTCGAATCCCCGCGGCGGGGTGCGCTCCCGCTGCTCGGTCCCAGCGCCTGCCAACCTAGCAGTTCGAAAGCACGTCAAAGTGCAAGTGGATAAATAGGGACCGCTTACCAGCGGGAAGGTATACAGCGTTCTGTGTGCTGCGCTGGCTCGCCAGATGCAGCTTTGTCACGCTGGCCACGTGACCCGGAAGTGTCTCTGGACAGCGCTGGCCCCCGGCCTCTTGAGTGAGATGGGTGCACAACCCCAGAGTCTGTCAAGACTGGCCCGTACGGGCAGGGGTACCTTTACCTTTACCTTTTTATAGATCTCTGAGGAGAGGTGTAAAATGCTGGTGGGATTGCAGTCCTGTCAAAAAATTGTGCTATAGCATTCTGCTCTAGACGCAGTTTCTGAATGAAGCACAGGGGAAGCCCTCTATACAGGGCATTAAAATAATAATACTTTAACGCCTTTCAGCACCAGAGTGGTATAGTGGTTAGAGTATCAGACTAGAACCCAGGAGACCAGGATCCAAATCCCCACTCGGTCATGGAACTCAATGGGTGACTGCCTCTCAACCTAACCTACCTCACAGGGCAGTGGGGATTAAATGAGGAGAGAGGAGAGCCATGTATGCTGCCTTCAGCTCCTTGGATGAAAAAGGTGGGATATAAATGCAAATAAATGAGTAAATAAAAATAGGAGGGAGGCAGTGAGACTGTGTACATGCAACCTCCATAGGGTGAATAGCAGTTAAAGATTTTCAAACTATTAAGCAGTTTATAAATGGTTTTCAGAATAAGTGAATAAGGTCTGAAAACAGCTGCACACGTACAGTTGTGTGTTTTTAGAACTGCTCCAAGTAATGGGAATCCTGGCTTTTTCGCAGGAAGGCTAAAAGAATCTGAAATATGTTAACTATTGTTTGATATTTCAGTCATTCTGATTTGTGGGGTGTTGCCACATCTTCCCATTAATCGTGTGTTTCCACAACACTTTCCTAACTGCAAAAAATCCCTTTTCTTTAAAGTGGATTTGTTACACGAGGGCAATAGAGTGCTTGAATCCACTTTAAGCAGGCAAGCCTAAATTTCTGGTTTAGGCTTGCCCAGTTAAATCACTCCTACAAAATGATGGCAGTCTCGAGGCATTCTCCTGAGTTAGAAACAATAAAGACTAAAATATTACGACTCTGGTGTCTCCCCCCCCCACAACAGACTTAACAACCCTTCTGCTTTTTTTATATACAGTGGTACCTTGGTACACTGGAAGGACAGGTCCTGAAGCTGAGGCTCCAATACTTTGGCCACCTCATGGGAAGAGAAGACTCCCTGAAAAGACCCTGATGTTGGGAAAGATGGAGGGCACAAGGAGAAGGGGACGACAGAGGATGAGATGGTTGGACAGTGTTCTTGAAGCTACAAACATGAGTTTGACCAAACTGCGGGAGGCAGTGGAAGACAGGAGCACCTGGCGTGCTCTGGTCCATGGGGTCATGAAGAGACGGACACGACTAAACGACTAAACAACAACAACACCTTGGTTTATGAACTTAATCTGTTCCAGAAGTCTGTTCTTAAACCAAAGCGTTCTTAAACCAAGGCGTGCTTTCCCATAGCAGTGGGGGACTCAATTTACAAATGGAACACACTCAACTGGAAGCAAAACATGTTATTATTCCAAGGCAAAGTTCACAAACCAAAACACCTACTTCTAGGGTTTGCAGAAGTAATCCAAGTTGTTCATAAACTAAGCTGTTCTTAAACCAAGGTACCACTGTACCAATTTTCTATCTTGGTTTTTACCAGCTTGGAAAACTGGTAATGTCACCCTTATGGTGAGGTCAGCAGAAATGGATCCGAGGACTGAAAAATAATAATAATAATACCTTCCATTCCTCTATCCTGGCCACCTATCTGACGCTATCATCACTAAGCATGGCATAGATTACAGGGGTCAGTACACTTTTTCAGCAGGGGGCCGGTCCACTATCCCTCAGACCTTATGGGGGGCCGGACTATATATTGGGGGGGGAAATGAATGAATTCCTATGCCCCACAAATAACCCAGAGATGCATTTTAAATAAAAGGACACATTCTACTCATGTAAAAACACACTGATCCCTGAACCATCCGTGGGCCGGATTTAGAAGGGGATTGGGCCAGATCCAGCCCCAGGCCTTAGTTTGCCTACCCATGGTGTAGAAGCTTCATTTGACTGCCAGTGAGCAGGTGATCAGCAGTCATCTTTGCTGATCCCATTTATTTAGTCTCTGCAGAGTTCATCAGACCAACAGCATCCCCCCCGCCCCCTTCAGCCGAAGGTCAAATATTAACAGCTGGTTTTGAGTACCATGAAATCATATGGCTCAAGTTTCAAATGGTACCTCATAAACTCTCTAAGGATCTATCTCCAGCCTAACCATGGAGCACGCTAGCTGGTACAGTGTGTTTTGTAAACAGAATGATAGTGTTCAGGATTATGTAGATATTATTGTGCAGCGGTTTGGATCACCTCATTAAAAAACATACCACAGGATGTAGAAGGAGCAGCATAAATATAAGTAGGGTTCAGAGCTTGGACAGTTAATTTTTTTAAGGAGGTAGCAAAGGAACTAATTCTAGCTAACATTCAGTCCTTTTACAAAATAAGCAAATTCTGCTCCCAGTTTGAGGTCATCCAAATGATTCCCAGCAATTTCTCCCCAGCAATCAGAATGTTACAAGATGCTGTATTGAAGTACAGTATAAAATGTACCTAAGAAGATGAACAAAACAACAAAACATGAAGAACGTAAGAATATAAGAATATAAGTCTAGTTTGCTGGATCAGGCCAGTGGCCCTTTCTCACGGTGGCAATGGTGCCAACTCCAGGGGGCATAAAAGAGGATTAGAGCGTTATGCTGCCCTGGTGCAACAAATCTGCAACAAACAACAAAAACTGTAACTTTATGTGGTTTGGAAAGGGATGAGGAAATGCACTGAAAAATGTGGGGTGAAATAATGAATAGTAATGCATGCAAACACCTAAAAGCAAATAAGAAGAAATGCTTAGTGCTGCATTTGTATTAGAATCATAATTTTATGTATATACTGTTGTATTAGATAAGCATCTACAGTGGTACCTCGGGTTACATACGCTTCAGGTTACATACGCTTCAGGTTACAGACTCCGCTAAGCCAGAAATAGTACCTCGGGTTAAGAACTTTGCTTCAGGATGAGAACAGAAATCGTGCTCCGGTGGCGCGGTGGCAGCAGGAGGCCCCATTAGCTAAAGTGGTGCTTCAGGTTAAGAACAGTTTCAGGTTAAGAACGGACCTCTGGAACGAATTAAGTACTTAACCCGAGGTACCACTGTATTGTTGTATAACCGCCCAACAAACAAATCAAAATGGATGCTGAGTAAAGATCAGATATAATCTAAACTCTATGTAAACTTTGTGAAAACCAATCATGATGAATGCTCAGTAAATAGTTCATCTGGACAGACCCTCAGGTTTTGTTTTTGTGTTTTTTTTAAAAAAAATGGAAATAAAGAGGAT